CTAACAACAATGACTGAGTCGCCTCAGTATCACGTAGAATACGTAGAATACTAGAATACGTATGGGTATGGGATTGCTAGTGTCATTTGTCAAAGACACAGAAAAAACAGACACAAAAGGACTAAATTACTCTCTGATTACACCAGCCTTTATATCAGTGGCCAAATCAACAACATCGGGTGATCTTGTTAAACTACGTCCCAATGTCGACACAAAGGCACTGGGTATTGCCTCCTTTTCTCTATTCTTTTTCAAACACCAACAATCGGACATAACATGACCAGGGATTTTACAGAAATGACAGACAGGCCTTGATTGTTTTAAAGAAGTTTTATCCTGACTGTCAAAAGATTTTGAACTAGAGGAGCTGGATTTTTTAGAAGAATACCCAACTTCAGTGGATTGAAGACATGCAAGTTTTTGTTGAGATGGTATGTATTTCTTTTTATGAAAAGTGGTTTTTATATGTTAAAGTGTAATCATCGAAAAGAGCAGCTACTTCCTGTGGTGTTTCAACCTTCGTTCCAAGTAAGTTTTGAGGTCATCACGTGCACAACATTTAAATTCCTCAATTAGATATAATTGTCTTAGTCTGTCGAAGCTATTGCCAATATGCATTGCACCATCGATCAAAATAAACCTCTTTTTCGTGGACAAATTTCATATAAGTTTGATTATCTTGTTTGCGATAACCTCTAAACTTTGGTGATAAGCCTCTACTAACTCGTATGCTTTGAGAATAGCTGCTTTAACCTTATCATAATTTGCACAATCTTGTAGAAAAAGGGCAACATAAGCTTCTAATGCTTTAACAGGTAAGACACTCTGTAATAATAATGAACATTTTTCGGTGGGTCATTCCATGGTTTGGGCAACCATCTCAAAATGTTGGAAATATTTATCAACTTCATTTTCATTAAATGGTGGTACTTTAACATATCGATTAAGTTCAAAGTTGTCATTTTGCCTTGGTCGATTGGAGTTCAGTCTAATTTCCATTTCTTTTAGCTTAATTTCTTTTTCGACTTCAATGTGAGCTTTTTCAGCCTCGAGACGTTTATTTTCTCCTTCAGCTTCAATACGAGCTTGTTCGGCCTCGAGACGTTTATTTTCTCTTTCAGCTTACGAGCTTGTTCTTTCTCGACTTTCATTCGAGCTTGTTCTTTCTTTTTCTCAGCTTTGATTCGAGCTTGATCTTTCTCTTTCTCGGCCTCGATACGAGCTTGTTCTTTCTCGGCTTCGATACGAGCTTGCTTTTCCTCCTTCTCGGCTTCGATACGAGCTTGTTCTTTCTCGGCCTCGATACGAGCTTGCTTTTTCTCCTTCTCGGCTTCGATACAAGCTTGTTCAAGCTCGAGTTGTTTGAGTTTTAGCTGGATCTCTAATTTATCTTTATCACTTAACTCCGATTAGCTAGTAAGGACACTAGAGTATTCCTGTAATGCTTCCTCAGGCAACAATTCATCATCGACTAATATTTCGATAATACGCTTTTTTAGTTTATTTTTTCTCATTGATTTTTCAACTTTTAGTTCTAAAACTTTGGCAATTTCGAGCAATTCATTTTTTAATGTTTTTTTAGTTGTTCAAGGGAGGGAGGGTGATACAAGAAAATTTTAATAATCAGACATGGTCAAATCTTGTTGGCACTGATAAATATAAATTCAATTGTAATTTAAATTTTAATTAAGATCGAATTTTGTCACTGATTCAGATCTCGGACAAGAACCCCCAATTTATTATGTTACGTATTAGAATTTCAAATAGCCTGAAATTGAATTAACTGATAAATTTCAATTTAGTAGTTAAATTGTACTTTGGATTTAGCAGTTAAGTAAAAACCGATAGATATAGTAGTCAGTTTATGATATTTGCCAACAAGATTGATACACAAATTTCTTTTTTAAACCAAATACGTTTTAATATACATACAACAATACAATTTACAATATCAGTTATTACAATTAGTTATTACAAACAATGATTTATATAGAAAAGTTTCACAAACGTACAAGCAATATAAAGTCTTCTTTCTAGTCTGGAAATTTCTTGATATCTTATCGAGGGTTCACGATGAGCGAGTTAATTACGAGTTGATGTAAGTACGATTCGCTTAAAGGGAAGCTAGCTAGCTTTGTCCTTAGTTTTTTTAGCGCTGAAGTTGTATAATGTCTTCGTATAGGTACAAATGTCCGATATGAATCCACTGAAGTTAAATGATTTGTAATGTTCGAACTTTGTAAATGCTCCTGATCAAATATCTGAAGTTTTCCGATTGATAAGCGTTATAATAATCCCAGTTATAGCTTCTGACATTTATAGCACACTGAGTATAGCAAAGTAATAATAGATACTGTTTGTGGCGCGTAGCGTTGGTTATAGTTATAGGCGTGTGGAGGCTTTCTAAAAATTCAGATTACTTAACAATACAAATTTAAGCGTTTAGGTACATACATATATTGTTAATTCTTACTCTCGAGAATCTTCTACAGTTTTGAAGAATAGGCAGGAGTTTCGCAATACATATTTAACACTATAAGCTATGCATATTTCTGAATATAAACTTAATCTAAACAAGCGTTGATATTAAAATAAATATATAATAATAGATCCGTCACATTACAGTATGTGTTTGACATTATTTGTAGTAAAGCTTATTATTGAAAAACTGTATTGTTGAAAATATAGCTTGTATAATGTGAAACGCATGCTGTAGAATTGATTGTAATTTGTTATTTAAACTAACTGAAGTATTATACTGTCAGTTAAGGTGAGTGTTTTAATAGAGCTCTCCTGAAAAAGCGTAAAGCGAAACTTTGTGTCCAATTAAATTTAAAAAAACCAGTTTGGTGCTATAAGGTGTTTTATTATTTGTATTATAAAGGCTATTACTCAATTTATGTCGCTCAGACTACCTGAGAATTAAATCCGCTAAGACATGTTTTCTAGCAATAATAACTTACACCCAAAACAAATTCTCTAAACAAACCTGTGGATTTAGTATTTAAAAAGTATTCCGTTACGATATGAAACTGAAAGCTAACACTAACCTGTTGCACGCTATCGAAATGATAATTTTTCAGATGAAAAAAGAAACAAAAATGTATTATTACTGGCTCCTTACCAGATTTTACTTGCTAGTTACCAAACGAATTTTACTTGACCAACTCACACAGGAAAGTAAAGAATTAAAGTAAAACAAAGATTCCCATAACCGATTGAGCCATTAATTTGCTAGTTACCTCACAATATTAGCAAGTAAAAAAAATGGAATACGGAAACCAAAAGGTTAGCATTCCCACTGAGATTTTACAACATCATTCTTGTACCAGATATATTACAATTACGACAGATCACGTTACAACTTTCATATTACTTACTCGTAGATAGAGAAGTAGGAAGGTCGAACGAACAAGTAGAGAGTGAAGTGCTATTAATGAGCGTTGTCGGTAATTTCCACAACTTTGAATATACACCTGAGGAAAAACCATAACTCGAACTATTTGATGTGTCTAGACTTCTTCCCTTTCTTGACATGCTAATCTTTACTTCACTGTTTGAAGTATCATTGGCGAAACGTTTGGTAACTACAGGTTTATCGCCATTTAATGTGTTTATGGAGAGGTCCTGGCATTCTTCTGTTACACCCTTATCCACATAACTTGCTTCCAAATACACGTTTTTGTATCGGGAAACGGAAGGATAACATTTATTTGTAAAGATAGGGGGCGCCTTTGGGAACCAGAAACCAGGAGTAGTAGCAACTGAAGACTGCCAATTAGACGTGATTTTGTACCAAGCACTCAACTCAACGTCCTTTTCTGTATCACAATGTATAGAACACCATATTTCATTTCCTAGAATAATAGGAAAGAAAATTATTATCGAAAATAGTTATCATACCTTTCATTACATGTAATAAACGAGTGTGTAACTTGTAGTGGTTTACTAAAACAAGAGTGAAAAAAAATACACTTAATTAATAGAAACAATGTAAATGAAACTTGAAAATATTTTGCAAATGCTCATTGTGCAATGCTTCATAGTCACTTGCAATAATGCAACAACTTTTCGGCATTAAAGTATTTGTACTTGCAGCAATGCCGTGCGTGTTCTTAAGGATTGGTTAGAAGAAATATAAATGTTTTCTTTTATGAAGAATTTAATAATATTTACTGTTAGTTTTTGAGGCTATAGTCAACTCCAAGTTTATCAATGATTGAAAAATCACATTTACTAAATTTAATGGTTCCCCAAATCAAATCTCTCCTAACCTATGACTTGCTTATATTATATATATATATATATATATAGGATAACGTGCTTCGCTCGCTCAAGTACAAATCACTAACAGCCAAGTTTTTCTCAAAAGATGTTTTATCGTGCTTATTTTATCGATTGATACCTTTTTCGTAACTTACAAATACCTTATAAAGGAAAAACTTTATAATTATATATTAAACCTAGCAATTAACAGCTTAATACCTAAATATATAAAAATTAATTTCATTTGTTTTTCAAAAATAAAAAGAATATGAGAATCAAAGGTCATCCGTATGTACCTAGATATACAAAAAAGCAACCTCTGTGTTTAATTGGTTGTATTTATGAAAATATGAAATTTTTAAGCACAAACATTTAAAACAAATTAAAACGTATTCCCAAACGGAAATTCACGAATATTATTCGTTTCACTAATATGTAACTACAGTAATGATTAAAAAGGTGCTTAAATTAACATACCATGAAACATCGCTCGCATATATTATAGCTGGTTGTTAATAAACCATTTTGTTTCTTCGAAGACCGTAGTTACTTGTACAACACTGGTAAATGTTTTCATTATTTCCACAATAATTGTTTTAAAATCCATAGACATTTTAGTCGTTGGGAAAAAAATAATTTTACTATTAGGTCAGTTTGTTTGTTTTGTTGATACATTTAAAGTCAAGTTACCTCTGATTTCTATTTTTACAGTTTTTGGTTGAAAAAGTATTTAGAATAAATCATTTTACTTTATTCAAGCGACTTTTTTTGCCATTTTATTTGGAAACTTGGTTATTTAATACAACTTTTGGGAAGATTAGCAGGAATATTCAATATAATATGCTTAAGATGATTACTCAAGATGAGAATTGGTATCCTTATAATAAGTATTTGTTGCTATTTATACTAAATCCAATTTTGGATTATCTACAGCCCTAGCCCCCAGTGGCACTGCGTTATGTCTGCGAACTTACAACGCTAGAAACCGGGTTTCGATACCCGTGGTGGGCAGAGCACAGATAGCTCCTTGTGTACCTTTGTGCTTAACTTCAAACAAACAAGTATTCTACAGCCCTACAGAATTTAAGCGCACATTGGGGTGAGTATATTAAATACTTAACAAGGAGGTGGATATGCACTAGAGATTTATCTTAATTATCGCTTTGCTTGTTATTGCTGTAAGTACAGTAAGCAATAAATAGAGAGCTTTTTATATAGTTTTTAGTCTATAACATATTTTTTTCTACAAAAGTACTTGCCAAAACATTTAATCGCTTGCCTTGATGACAAACGAAAAAGAAGGAATGTTTATTTTTGACTAGCTGCCCTCTTCTCACCGCGAGGATAGAAACCCAACTTTTAGAATTATTAAGATTATAAGACCCCAGTCTTATCGCTGAGCCTCCCGGGATAAGAATGAGAATTATCAAAAGTATATAAGTGTATAAATTCATTACACTGAAACGTTAATTTGACAAGAAACAATAACAATAGATATGACTGTTTTGAAATTAAACTTTAAAACTTTTTAACTTCTTTTTTACAGCTATAATCCATTAAAACCACTTGCTATGTTTCCTCTAAATATTGCTTTCCCAAAAATCCTTTCTCAAAGCTTCAGCTTTGTTATCAACTGACCAGAGGAATATAATAGTGTGGATTTTCAGTTCAAATTGATTTACTCAAAGAGAATCGGCAGTACATATTACGAAGAAATGCCTAATTTAGCTAAAACTAACTGAGTTTGAGCAAGGACTTAAAAAGACTAGATGAAAACAGTCCTTATTAATTCAAAGACAAAACACAGTGTGTGTTTGTTTCTAGGCATTGGGCAGTCGCATTTCACTCTAGCTCCGGAAAATTACTCTTTCAATATAACGTTTCTTACTTAACGGGAAACGCCAAGTTTTCCCATAATGACTAGCGCTTCACTTGTGCCTGGTCATCCTCATTTAAACATAGGGAACCACAATCTCGAGACATCACCTGAACTACCACAGAAGGACACTGCTGTCTAAATTATTGCACAAAATGCAGCATTACAGCCACGTCTCCTCCTTTTCCACCCACAGACAGAACTTATGTGACATCAATAGAATGACAAAGGAACAAAGGTGACAATAACGAAATCAACTTAAAGACTTTCTTGAGCACGAACTATGCGAAAACTACATAGGCTTAAAATAAATTAGAAGTTTAAAAAATTCTAGATTCATACGTGAAGCTGTAACATGCATAATATGCCTGCATACGGAAGCAATACCATTGTCTTGAAAAAAAAGAACTGTATTGATAATATTAATTATATTACTTTTATGATTTCTCTAAAACTCATTAGTGTTGCCTATTTATTCTTTCCACTCACAAACAACATTCTTTTTACATTAAAGACTTAACAGTTTTAATCCCCACATTTTTTTTTGCAAACACTCTAACCAAATTGTTCTCAACCTTGGATTCTTCATACTATTTATTAAAGTACACTCTTTTGCGTTCCATCCTTTTTCATATCAGCCATTATTTAAAAACCTTAAATTTAGAAAATTTGCTGTTGACAGTGCCATTAAACTTACCCGAGATTTAAATTATTTTCTTTCTAGCTGTAACTGTTTTTTGGCAAGTTCCAGTACTACTTCTCTTTTAAGTAAAATTTCTAATCATGAACTCATTAGCATTTGCCTTGTAAATATGTTTGATGGCAGTAATCTACTATTTAAGCATTAAGACAGAGAGGTGGTGCTACAGCCGGAACTATACTTGGCCTGGCTTAAATTGATGTGTTATTTCAGTTACTTAGAATTCACATGGTAAGGCAATAGCCTAACCTAGTTAAAAACCTGTCTTCTACGTTGTTTTTAGACTACTTGAATTCCTATCCCAACGCATTAATTTACCACATGCTGTTTTTTGTGTGTTTTTTTACATTCTATGTGGAATGTAACCTCCTTTATGTTCTACAAACTGAGGTACCCGTATTTTGTTCAGGTTATGAACTGGAAAAAATATAGGGTGGATGCTATGATAAATAACACAAAAAAATCGTAACTTTTGAATTATGTATATATATATATATATATATCATAACATATCATTACAGTATTCATTATTAACTCACCAAAAGTTTTGTATAAAATTTAAGAACTCAAGGTGACTGATCAGGGTGACTTTGAAGAAAAAGGTAGCAGCCAAAATAGTGGCGGTAGGGGTGCTTTCTGTTACCCCTTTTAACACCAAACTTTTGATACCCTTCCACAGTGTTTCACGTGATTAATTAACTGACGGTCATTGGCCGTATAGGTGTTTTGCGGGTCAAAGTAGGAAGTGGGTATATCTCAAGAAACGGCTGTTGGAGTAGAAACTTCAGCTGTGTTTATGTAATATTGCAATAGTGGCGGCCATTTTTTCCATTTTATTCTTCAATAGAGAGTGCGCTAGCACTCTCCGAGATATACAAGACATTTGTGTGCCCTCCTTCTCACTGTGTGTATATTGTGTTATAAGAAATTTAATAAAGTTTTTTGTCTTTGATGTACAGTCTTGGCGGCATCTATGAATATAGTTAACATTAACTAAAGTCAAAAATAATAAATGCTCAATAACATCAATAATTGGGTGGAAGGGCTGTGAACCCCCAATTAACATGCCCTTTGTTTCAAACTATCATCCCACAAAGTTTGGTTGAGATTGGCACAGCGACCTAGGAATAGTTAGATAATGGACAGACAGACAGATTTTTTGTGCTTTATGTATATATAAATATTGGTTAGGATGTCTTAGATTCTTCAGTGTTTTCCTGAACGAATACATAAAGAAGTGGTGGTGGTTCTCTTAAAGGCTGCAATCAAACTTTGTCATTATCACAACACAGTCCTAGCTTTTCATTCAGATACATTTTGGCCCTGCAAAAATCACATTTTATTGATCTTGTTCCAACGTCATATACACACTCGAATTCATAATCATGATTTGGATTATAATCATAAGCTGTTTTGAAATACATTATAGATTTCCATTCCATCCTTCTTTGAGTTCGACATCCTCTATCTTGCTCCCTTCTGGCAGCATATTCTGCAACTGATTCTTTTATTCTTCTTCCGCTTGTCATTCTGTCACGATTTCCTACTTGTGTGGCAACAGTTTCATTAGTTGTCTCTTCTGCTCTTCTTCTAGCTATCCTTTCCCTATCTTGAGCTTGTCTTGCAACAGTTTTTTTTTGCCATTTCCTGTGATTTCCTTTCTTCCATCATCTTGGCTATTTTTGATTTCCGTGATTACTATGACTTCAAAACTCGTTTGGGTATCTTAACACACTTAAGTAGGGTGTAATTTGTGTGCGCACTTCACAAAGTTGACTGTTTTGGAAACTACAAAGTAATACTACTTATATATATATTATACCATTTACTTACAATCAATGTCGAGGTGGAAAGCAACGTGCGAACTCTTTGAGGTAATGATGAAACACTATGGAACTAAGAGTACATTTGTATACTTTGTCTTCAAGCGATTAATTAATTAACGGTCATTAGCTCCGTTATAGAAAATGTAGTAAAGTTGTTGTTTTTTGTGTGTGTGTAAGGTCGTGGCACCATCTGTGAAAGT